CCATGATTGATGAAAAGCGGATGGCTGCAGTTTACCACGGGCAGTTGTATCAACAAAGAATGGCCCGTGCCTCCAACAAGAAAGTGCGGCCTCGAAACTTTGAAGTGGGGCAACTCATTTTGAGACGTATTCTCTGCATCATGAGGAAGCAAAAGGAAAATTTGTTCCAAATTGGAAAGGTCCGTACATTGTAAGAAAACTGTTGTCGAAAGGAGCACTGTATTTGGGAGACATCGAAGGAAATGATCCCGAAACAGCTGTTAATGCTGATGCGGTCAAAATGTATTATGTTTTACCCTTTTACGCGATTTTAATACTCTCTGATTGGGATGACGAAAGCTTTCATTTCTCACTACCCAAACACTATCAACCTTTTGCAAATCCTTTCAGCTGGTTACTCTTCTTTAATTACCCTTTTTGGAACCAAGAAGTTGTCATATTAAAAAAATGATAAAAAAATGAAGCAAAACAAAACAAAAGTTTTCCTTGAACTACGTTCGACTTGATACGTAGGCAACCTCTCTCTGGGGTTCAGTCACACCAAAATAAAAATCCATATTTTCCCAAAGTTGAAACTGGGGCAGAAGTTACAATGATCTGGCAATAGTTTTGCTTGAAAGGTTCCAAAGTTGTAATTCGGTCCAAGTTCTTTTTACCCAAATCCTTTTCAAGTCCTTCCGATCAATCGGCAAGAATGTTAAAATTGGAGAATACAATTGTTGAGGTCTGATACAACAAAATGAGAGAAATAAAATGAGAGAGTCTTAAACCTTCACGGGCACCGTAAGGCGATGGTAAGCAGAGAAATTAAAAATGAGAGAATCTTATTAGTGAAAATTCGCAAAGAGCACTATAAGGCGACGATAAGAAGAGAAATGAGAGAGGTCAGCTGGTAAAAACCCGCAAAGGGCGCCACTGATCGAAAAAGAGATCCTCACAGCCATCGGCATCGGCAGAGTCCTAGCAAGGTTTCTCAATTTCGAGGCAAAAGTTGTGATGAATTTCTGAGAGTCAGACGGTTTGCACAGATCAGGCATCCAGTCCAAAAGACATGTCATGTTCATTGAAGTCTGCATGTACTCCATATAAGTCCTTCTGTCCTTTCCCCGAAAGGGATACCTTTTGTTTAAATTTATTGTCCTTTCCATTGTTTGTTTTTCTTTGAATTACTTTTGGTCTAACTCTATTCCGAAACTAAGACAAATAAAGGATGGTAAGACTGATTTACAGGGCTTTTGTTTGATACGAGCTAATATGCAAAAGGCACTCAGCCTCGTCAGGGGCATCAAGTTGACCTCGACTGGCCATGGCGGCCGATGCTTCAAAATCAAAACTCTTGGAAGGAGAAAATCAAATTGAAGCGCCTATAAAGGCAAATGAAGTTGAAAAGGTTAAGCAAGGTTTGAAAAGCCAAGGTACCCCAAATGCTCTAAAATTGAAGTTGGAAGAAAGAAACTAGAAATAAAAGGCCTGCAAAGGCGAAATGAAGTTGAAAAAGGTTCAGTTCCATGCGACTAGCCGTTACATCAAAGTTTGAGGAGCCAAATGTTCCTCAATGCTCCGAAGTTAAAAATTTAAAAAGAAAAAGAAAAAAAAAAGAAACAACAAAACAAGTTAGAAGTGAAAGGCCTACAAAGGCAAAATAAAGTCGAAAAGGTTGAATCCCACGCGACTAACCGTCATGGCAAAGTTTGGAAAAACCAGAGGTTCTCTAGGGTCAGAAATGCAATTGTTATCAAGAAACAACCAGTTGCAATTGAAAGGGCCGAGATCAAGTGACTGAAATAACCAAGGCCACAAAATCAACCACCGCTTCAAACTAATAAATTGTTCTTTGTTGAAAAAAAAATAGGAAACAGGTGAAATCCAGAAGCAACCTTGCAAAAAGCAGGTGCTACCAAAAAGAAACTATGCAAGGGCTAAAAACAGCTTTACAATGACAACCCAAAAAAAGAGAGGGAAGTTTTCTCCATATTCTTCCCCCACTTTACTCATTCTCTTTATTTAAAAAAAAAAAGAGAGAAAGAAAACAAAGAAAATTAAAAACCATGATAGTATGGGGTCTCTAATCCCTAGCTGCGTTTTTCCAACATAAGGTCTCCATTCCCTAGCTGATGCCAACATATGGTCTCCACTCGCTAGTTGATGCCAGCATAACCTGATGCCAACATAGGGTCACTACTCTTTAGTTGATGCCAACATAGGGTCTCCACTCTCTAATTGATGCCAGCATAACCTGATGCCAACATAGGGTCACTACTCTTTAGTTGATGCCAACATAGGGTCTCCACTCTCTAATTGATGCCAGCATAACCTGATGCCAACATAGGGTCATCACTCCCTAGTTGATGCCAACATAGGGTCATCACTCCCTAGTTGATGCCAATGTAGGGTCACCACTCCCTAGTTGATGCCACTATAACCTGATGCCAGCATAACCTGATGCCAACATAGGGGCCACTCCCTAGTTGATGCCAACATAGGGTCACCACTCCCTAGTTAATGCCAGCATAACCTGATGCCAACATAGAGTCACCGCTCCCTAGTTGATGCCAACATAGAGTCTCCACTCCCTAGTTGATGTCAGCATAACCTGCTAGTAACATAGGGTCACCACTCCCTAGTTGATGATTTTCCAACAATAGAGTCTCTAATCCCTAGTTGATGTCAGCATAACCTGATGCCAACATAGGGTCACCACTCCCTAGTTGATGATTTTCCAACAATAGAGTCTCTAATCCCTAGTTGATGTCAGCATAACCTGATGCCAATATAGGGTCACCACTCTCTGGTTGATGCCAAAATAGGGTCTCCACTCCCTAGTTGATGCCAGCATAACCTAATGCCAACATATGGTCACCACTCCCTAGTTGATGCCAGCATAACCTAATGCCAACATATGGTCACCACTCCCTAGTTGATGCCAACATAGGGCCTTCACTCCCTAGTTGATGCCAGCAAAACCTGATGCCAACATAGGGTCACCACTCCCTAGTTGATGCCGACATAGGTTCCCCACTCCCTAGTTGATGCCAGCATAACCTGATGCCAACGTAGGGTCACCACTCCCTAGTTGATGCCAACATAGGGTATCCACTCCCTAATTGATGCCAGCATAACCTGATGCCAACATAGGGTCTCTACTCCCTAGTTGATGCCAGCATAACCTGATGCCAACATAGGGTCACTACTCCCTAGTTGATACCAACATAGGGTCTCCACTCCCTAGTTGATGTCAGCATAACCTGATGCCAACATAGGGTCACCACTCTCTAGTTGATGCCAACAAGGGTCTCCACTCCCTAGTTGATGCCAGCATAACCTGATGCCAAATAGGGTCAGCACTCCCTAGTTAATGCTAACATAGAGTCAACAATCCCTAGTTGATGCCAACATAACGTCTCCACTCCTTAGTTGATGTCAGCATAACCTGATGCCAACATAGGGTCACCGCTCCCTAGTTGATGCCAACATATGGTCTCCACTCCCTAGTTGATGCCAGCATAACCTAATACCAACATAGAGTCACCACTCCTAGTTGATGCCAACACAGGGCCTCCACTCTCTAGTTGATGCCAACATAACCTAATGCCAGCATAACCTGATGCTAACATAGGGTCACCACTCCCTAGTTGATGATTTTCCAACAATAGGGTCTCCAATCCCTAGTTGATTTCATTTAGATATAGGTTCTCCACTCCCTAATCTTTTTTTCCCAAGGATACACAATCTTGATTTTTATTGCATTCAATAATGAAGTAGTATAGAGTTTTGGTTACAAATAACTCACGAAATTTTTCTAGTGAAAACTGGGACAGAAAAATTTCATTCGTTTGTTTGTTTTGGTATCTGAGCAGGTTATACCTCGAGACACAAGGTTCGAGACGATCAAAAGAAGAAGTCTCAATCCGGAATAAAAGAAAAAGAAGAAAAGAAAAAGAAGTGAACTCAAAGTGTAGAATCAGAGAAAAATGTGGACTGCTCAAGACATGATTGGAGTCATAGGCTTTGCATGTCCCGCATTGATCCGAAAAGTTGAAGGAGAATGAACTAGCACTTGCAGCTAACAAGCATCAAGATTCAGATCAGAGTCTGCATGAAGAACCAACCAAGACTCAAGATCAAGCTTTAGAAGATTTATAGATATGAATCTTGTAACCCGTAGCTGATAGGCTTTGTTAGTTTAGTTTTTCATTTTGATTTTGGTGTAATAAGGAGCTCAGCAAGCAGAAACAACAGCAACAACAGTGAAATCACAATTATTCAGTAGTCCCAGCTACCAAAACTTCCAGAACTACACTGACCTGATTCCTTTATAGCCAAGGATATGTAGGCAACTTCTAAAGCAAGGTTTAGTCAAACTTTTTCAAAATGCTTCCCATGGAGTATCCAAACGGGTAAAATCGCTCGTGATTACTCACTTTATCTTTGTCCAAAAACTCTTCATGTTTTCGAGCAAAGATGGGCAGTTGTGAGCACCTAATTTTTGCCCTATGCCTAAAATACTCTAAAAATAGTAATTGCTTTTATGAAATTTTCAGAATCTTCTCATACTTAGTAGCATTTCAAATCATGAAAATAACAAAAAAATATGTTATATTTTTAGTCTTTGCATTTTAGATCTAACTGCATAAATTGAAAGCATTATTAAAACGAAAATCACAAAATGATGTTCATTTTTATATTTTTTTAGCTTTTAGTGTTAAATTAATAATTTTCTTTCATTGATTTAGGATTAATTAATTATGTAAGTAATATAAATAGATAATTAGTTTAATTTTATAAATTAGATTAATTTAGGACTTAATTTAAGATTTTAATTAATTTAATTAAATTTTTAAATCAAAGAAAAGAAAATAAAAAAAGGAGAAGAGACTATTTTTTGAACCTCAAACTAGATTGGGCCAAATTTAAATGACCCAAATGATTTAAAATCGCCCCAGCCCATTACCCAACCAGACCCCCCATCTCTCATTAAAAGCATTCACCCTCCAAACCCTAAAAGATAATAGATCAGAAGATCCCCCTCCCTCCCTTCTCTAGGAAAAAAACCCAGCGCATTCCCCCTTCTTCTCCACTCATACTCTCACACAGACTCCCCTCCTCACACACATAATTGATTCATACTTTACTCATCTGTACATCTAGAAGAAGAAAAAATTCCGAAAGAAAACCAGATCTGAAAACTAAAAAAAAAATGCGTTGGAAGAACAAAGAAGAACATTTTTCTATCTGCGAAAATCTTCACGTTCTCTTTTTCGGGTTGTTTCAAAAATTGTGACATGATTTAAAATGGATACTCCGGTTACCCATATTAGCAAAAACAAAAAACAAAACGAAAGTTTGTTGCTGATGGCATCTTCTTTGCGGATCTTAACGGAGTGTTGACGCGTGAAGTGTTGGGGATTTTGCTTTGCTCGCTGCTGTCTCTGTACCGGAATTTGTACAAGATGCTCTCCTTAGCTAAGAGCTAAGAGATCTGGGAAAATTTAAAGCATTCAGATTCACTTCCGTCTTACGGTACTGTTTCGATTTCAACTTAGTAATTAAGATTGGTTTAATAATGCTCACGATGTTATTGTGTTTTGCTTGCTCAAATTGCTTTCTTTGTTAGTGTAGTTGACTGAACAGTGCTAATTATGGCTAGAATGAAATCATTTGGTAGATTATTGAATACCCAGTTGCTTGTTTTCATTTGGTTATTATAAATGTAGATAGTAAAAATTAATGAGAGGAGGGAATTGATGAAGCTATGTTATGTATTTACACTCTGTCTAAATGAAGGCACAGTCTACAGTTGTTGAGGCTTTAATTGTTTCTTCCGAATTAATTGTTCCGATCAACTTGCGTACAAGACATGTTTTGGATCAGCTTTTTCTCGCTTTAATTTCTCTCTTTGTAAATTTAAGTAGTAGTTTGTAAATTTAAGTAGTAGTAATACATTTGCTTTTTTCTGTGGTCTCCATTTTTACTTTTCGTAAATGAGGTTGTGTCCTTAAATATATTTCTTGACTCTCACATCAATTCCATATCCATAAGCCATGGCTTCATAATAATCTCAAAGTAGTCTTAGAAAGAATAAATCACGAACATCGTAGCCTGCTTTAGGTGCGATTAATAATAATTATCGTGATTGTGTACACGTTCGCGTGACATAGTTACGATTTCCAAAATTAACTAAAGTTATGCGTTCCCGCAACTTCGGCCGAACAATCTTAATAATTAATAAAGCGCAATTAATTATGTACACGTTCGCGTGACATGATTTTAGCGCCCCAAATAAAGCGGACTTATACACATGTAGTCCATTTCAAAGATAAATCCATAAAACGCCATAACTAAAACGGTAAATGATAAAAATGCACATAGGTTTTAAAACATGTAAGTAAAATAATTTAATTAAGTCAGGTATGATTAAAGCGACGATGCTAAAATCACGGAACTTTACATCATTAAAGTTAAAGAGCAGGTGAAGGAGGCGATTCTTGATTTCTACCAAGAACTTTATACTGAAAATGAGGATTGGAGGCCTACTGCCTCCCTTGAAGGACTAGGTTGAGCTCTCTTGAGAAAGAAGAACTGGAACATGATTTTGATGAGGAGGAAGTTCTATATGCCATCAATTTTTGTGCACCTGATAAGAGCCCTGGTCCTCATGGCTTCACTATGGCGCTTTACCAGAATTGTTGGGACACCTTAAAGTTTGACATAATGGGAGCTCTTAGTCACTTCCATGCCAATTGCCATATGGTTAAATCCTTTAATGCATCCTTCATTGCTCTTGTCCCTAAGAGAAAAGGTGTAATTGAGCTCAAAGACTTAAGGCCAATTAGTCTGATAGGTAGTGTCTACAAGATCATGGCAAAAGTTCTTACAGAAAGGCTGAAGAAAGTGATTGGAAAATTAGTTTCAAGCTATCAAAATGCCTTCATCAAAGGCAGGCAGATCACTGATGTAACTTTTATTGCCAATGAAGTGCTAGATTGGAGGCAAAAAAGTGGCGTTCCTGTACTTTTATAAAGCCTTTGACAAACTCAACTGGAAGTTCCTTGTCTCAATTCTTTGGTAAATGGGATTTGGGGTGAGATGGATCAAATGGATCAAGTACAGCTTCTCAACTATGAAGTATTCTATCTTGTTCAACAGGAGCCTTATAGGTTTTTTCTCTCCTGGAATAAGGCAAGGGGATCCTTTATCCCCTTTTCTCTTCACACTGGCAATGAAGGGACTTAGTAAAATGCTTGAAAAGGCCAAGCAATTACAATGGATAGAAGGTTTCAATGTGGACAGAGCTCAAAGCTCCCTAGTCAATGTATCACACCTACTGTTTGCCGATGACACTCTCATTTTCTGTGGTGCAGAGAAATCTCAGGTTCAGTACTTAAACCTTACTCTCATGTTCTTTAAAGCTATGTCAGGGTTACACATCAACATGTCCAAGAGCATTTCTACCCTATTAATGTGGTTGCTGAACACCACTTTCTACCCTTGAATAAAAGTCCAGGAACACCACTTTTTTGCCTCCAATCCAGCACTTCATTGGCAATAAGAGCTGCATCAGTCATCTGCCTGCCTTTGATGAAGGCATTTTGATAGCTTGAAACTAATTTTCCAATCATTTTCTTCAGCCTTTGATGAAGGCATTTTGATAGCTTGAAACTAATTTTCCAATCATTTTCTTCAGCCTTTGATGAAGGCATTTTGATAGCTTGAAACTAATTTTCCAATCACTTTCTTCAGCCTTTCTATAAGAACTTTTGCCAAGATCTTGTAGACACTACGTATCAGACTAATTGACCTGAAGTCTTTGAGCTCAATTGCACCTTTTCTCTTAGGGACGAGCAATGAATGATGCATTAAAGGATTTAACCATATGTCAATTGGCATGGAAGTGACTAAGAGCTCCCATTATGTTAAACTTTAAGGTGTCCCAACACTTCTGGTAAATCGCCATAGTGAAGCCATCAGGACCAGGGCTCTTATCAGTTGCACAAGAATTGATGGCATATAGAACTTCCTCCTCTTCAAAATCATGTTCCAGTTCTTCTTTCTTAGCAGACCTCAGACAACCTAGTCCCTTCAGAGAAGCTTTTCATGGCTCTTGACCTCCTTATGCAGTTGAATATCTCATTCTCAAACCTACAAACATTGAAGTTGCCCCCTATAACCCAGCATTCATTCCAGAGGCCTCTTACAGCCGCCAACTCATTCCAAAGGTCGACCATTTCCCAGTTAGTATGAGGTCCGTAAACACTAGAGAAGAAAAATCTGAAATCTACCAGGGTGCCTTCAAACAAAGCTGAGATAGTGTGTTGACCTTGATGAGAGTCTAAATATCTCCACTGTCCCTTGTCCCACATGATTAGAATACCACCCCTACTATCACTAGCTTTAAGTCCGACCCAAGCTACCCACCTTGAACCCCATACATGCCTTACCATTGACACAGAACAATTTTCAGTCTTTGTTTCTTGTAGGCATACGATGTCTAACCTCCATTTTTGAATACGTGACTTAATAGTGTCTCTTTTGCACAAATCATTGAGCCCCCCCCTTATATTCCAGCTTATAATTTTTGCCTTCATTCAGAGAAGGCTCTGTGAAACTTGCCTCTGCTTGACTTACTTCCTCTATCATAATTAACTAAGCATTTCAGCTTTTTGGCAATAATCTCCCCCCTTTTCTTTGGAGCCACAGATTAAGCTTCTTACTTAAAAAGTTGGTGTAACCATGTAAAACAGTGCTGTTGAAACAGAGTACTCTTTCAGAATTAAAGTGGAACAAATTGAGCTTTCCAAGCGAATACTTTCTGCCTTGCCTTCTGATGCTTGTTTTGATATACCTCTATCACATATTAGTCCCATTACATTGCAACATATTTCACTTCCCTTATGCATGTAACGTACACTTTTGACATTGCAGAGTGATGACATTTCTTTAAATCTCCTGCAGGCTTTATAATTTGATGGAGCTGGAGGATAGCATTTTAGATTTCTCTGATGAAGAGGAGGGCTTCGAGGATGATGATGTTAAAATGAATGATATTGAGGAAGGAGAATTGGTTGAGAGGATTTCTAAGACTGGATTAGAGGAAAGTGGTGATGCATGTGCTAGTTTGACCAATCCCGTTTCAAGCAATAAAAATCAGAGACCCAAGAAAAACAAGAGGAAGAACAAGCGTAAGAGAAGTTCTTCGGGTCCAAAGGTCACAGATATTAACAGGTTTGTTACGCTAACCATACTCATTATACCTTTTCAAGGGGAAAAAAAAGCTTTGCGTTGCTTATCACCATATGCATATTATGTTTATTTCCTTACAGAAAGCATTATTGAGCTTGATCTAGTTTGATGAAGGGAAGATAATTGCCTTTATGGGTTGGATACCATATGATTGATGCATGGATTTAGTTTCTTTTATAATCTAGCCATATATAAGTTGTGCCAAAGACTAACATTTTAGTCAAAGTTGTTGCTTCATTTTGTATATACTAGTCGTTACAAGAATTAACATCTTTATTATTTGTTGTCGAAATGTAGCAGGCTTTGACTTTCTCTTTGAATTTTTGTCTTCAGATTTGTATTGGATGTCTGTAAACGCTTGAGAGAGCGGAAATCTTATCTCATATGGACTGCGGTTGGTTGCCTTGGAGTATCTGCTTTGAGTGATCTGGTCAAAGAGGTATGCTTTTTGTTCTATATGCTTGTTTTCTTAAATGTCGACTGGTGCTGTGTCATATCTGATTGGGATTTAATCCATTAGTTTAATTTTGAATTTAGACAATTAGTGTGAGCATAACTTCACCAATCTGCCCACCCCCCCCCAAAAAATACTGAAGAAGTCAATTTAANAAAAAAAAAATACTAAATAAGTCAATTTAATTTTTATTGTCACACAGATCCCGAAGTTGGATTCGCTGAAGCTTATGACCTCCATCTCAGTACTCATAAAGATGATCTTTTATTTATTTCTTTAGCTACCACAGATTGGGCATTCTAGAATTTATCTACCCCCTGAAATCCAGACTTAAACCTTGGGTGCAATTTGATGAGCTTTTGCTATTGATATTCTATGAGTGAATTTATGCATTTGTTGGTGTGCGACACCCTTAATTTCTCATATTGGAATGAGTCGGATGCTCTTTTCTGGGAATACCCTGCTTCTGTGGACATGCATTTTACTTGTAAAGAAGTTGAAGTTTTGTGAGTAGAAAACTTCAAAAACTTGAAAAATAGTCTAAACCACTTCTTGGAACTAGAAAAATTCATGCTGAAAAACTTCCCAAATATGGTCACTTTTTATAACCAAACAACGTTTACAAAATATTTTTGAAAAAAGTGAAAAAAACTTATGGCCAAACGGGAGAGGGTAAATTATTCTATTGAATGTTCAATTGTCAATTGGACGTGTTTGGTTGTACTTAACTAGCAGCGAATTGCTGGCATATGGCTGTTGCATGTGAGGGTCTGATGAGTATTTTTGCATAGTTTTTTTGACAAGTGAATAAATTAGGCCAGAATAGAACGAAGTTCTGGATTTTGGCAAAGGCAGAGCTTCTGCGTTTTATGATTGGAAATGATAATTTTGCTCCGGAGCCTATTTGCTTATGAAGATGATAGTTGCCCGTCCAAAAAAAAACCTAGACCTTTTTTTAATGAAGGATTGCATGTATGTGTTAACGTTTATTGTTCTCTAGCCAGTGAGTTATACATACATGTTTTCGGTCGTCATACCCCTTTTCCTGCATATCTAGTGCATAATTAAAGAGAAAAGCTATAAGTTTTTATAAATTATAAGTTCTGTTACAATTGTGAGTCAGTTGATCACGCTGCAGTAAAATTTACAGGTGGATGCAATTCAGAATTGTGGTGGCCAGAAGACTGCTGATGGCAGGCGTTTCCGAACAGGCGGTGGGATATTATGGAGCATCCTTAAAGTGCGAGATCCAAATGCATACAAAGAGATAATGAAGAAAGGGCAGGAGTTTGAGGTGGGTTATAATTTTTTAGCGTTTATCTTGTTGATAGTTATTCCCTGTGCATGTGGCAATTTTGTGGCCCAACCTGGAAAGATCATGAGTTCCATCATCAGGTGCTGAAGATTTTGTTCTACCTACTCTCAAATAAAAGAAAAAATAAAGCAGGTAACGTTGAAGAAAAGAAATAACCTTTCCTTCTCCCAAAAAAAAAGAAAAAGAAAGAAAGAAAAGAAGTAGCTTTTAATACCAATCAAAAAAAGAAAGAACCTTTAATAAAGGCTACATGGAGGTGTTTGTAAGGTTTACTTTCTTATTTGGTAAGTTAAGATGAGATATAGCTTTATATATTGTTTGACTCCACTCTATATTATTTAGTTCAAGTCAAATATTATGAAATTACCAATGTATCTTTGCTCGTTGCACTACTGTAATGCTCTAATTTTCAAACTGCATATTTGGTCATGTTAGTAATTTAAGAAAAATGTTTGAATGTTAAGTGAGTATTTTTGTTGTGCTCTAGTATCACTTCCTCGAAATTAAAATGCACAGTTTCTGGGAAAGCCTCCAGCCTTTGGATAGCCATGGTTATTCTTGTTGCAAGGACTATATTTATCTTACCTATCAAAAACACTTCTCAGTTTTTGCTATTTCTCGTAATTCTAATGATCTTTCAATGATAGCATGCATGCTGTATTTGTAAACAATTGCATATATAATTTAAACCGTCAGTATGCTGGTCACTTCTCCTATTATGTATCTATATACCAGTGTTCATTAAGAGCCTCATTTCAATAATAATTGCAGAAGCAATTTAAGCAGGCTAAGCTCAAGCAAGAACCACTCCCAAATAATGAAGCTTCTTTCGAGAGATCTAGCCAGACCACTGTGGGAGACAAAACTACACCCACTTCTAAAGATGTGTTGCTGCAACAAGTTCAGCAGTCAAATAGTGGAGCCAAACGTGCATCTGTTCATGACAGAATAAGGGTGCCCATCACGTATGATGATATATTTGAAGGAATTGATGAAGGAAGGGAATCAAGGGATTCGTTGGCTTAATACCTTTTGAAAAATCGCTCATATGATATGGTGGAATGAGGCGATCTGAAAGATATATAAAACTCAATGCAAGTGGCATATGACGATCAGCTTAGACTAGGGGATTGAAATGAATCAACTTGATTTTTGATGGTCTTCTATGGGGTTTCAAGTTGAATTTCACTTGTGAACTCCTAGATCCCGTGGAACTGTTCCCTTCCATTTTGTTCATTCTTATTCAGAGTAAATACATATCTTTGTTGTGGCCCGAAATTGTTCCAAATCAAATTTACACTTTGAAATTGCTTATAAGAATGGAAAGAAGTCGTTGCTTGATAGCATTAAGGATTGATTTTGTCTGTAAATTCTTTTGCATGAAACTTGTGAAATCATGGCTGTAAGTGTTGCCTGGTGCCTGAGACACTTGTGTAGTGTTGATAACCAAGTAATAATATGATGAACAATGATCAATTTTTTTGTTGGTTCCTCTTTATCCTTATTTATTTCTCAACCTGGAAATGAGTCTTATCAAATGTGTCTATGCACACACTAGCAACTTACAACTCGCAAGAGATTATAGCCATATATCTTTGAAGTCTTCCTACATTGGACTCCAAAATATTGATCACAGAAATGAAAATCTGGTTGATTGTTCTTAACTATATTGCTAAATTTCTACAACAGAACCCAAAGTTATAGTAGCTCAAGTACAGTGAACTTCTATATAGCTGTGGCTTTTGCAGTTTGGATAAATGAAAAGCTTGTATTTGGCCATAGTTCAAGTACTATTTTGCAAGAATAGGCAGGACATGGCAGCGCGTGGCCATGGCACGAGTTCGGGCGTCGCAGGGCATGGCCATAGCACGACGCAGAGCGTCGTAGGGAATGGCAGGGTGTGGCCATGGCACGAGTTAGGGGCACGACGCAGAGCGTCGTAGGGAATGGCAGGGCGTGGCCATGGCACGAGTTAGGGCGTCGCCGGGCATGGCAGGGCGTGGACATGGCACGACGCAGAATATAGCAGGACATGGCAGGGCATGACCATGGCACGAGTCATGGTGTGGCAGAGCGTGGCCAGGGCACGACGCAGGGCATTGCAGGACATGGCAGGGCGTGGCCATGGAACGAGCAGGACGTGGC